CTGCACTCAAACAAGAATACGGTATGTGGCTAGGTAGCCAGTAGTTATGCATGTATTTGATTTTACTATATATATTTAGTATATTAAGGAAAATCTAAACTAATATAAAACCTTTTAAATTAGGATAAAAAATTAATAAAAATCAGTTTTGGATTTTAAACCGAAGAGTCAATTAGCCTTAGGAAGGCAATAATTACTCTTGGAGTAAGTGGATTGCGATCCGCTAACTCGCAATTGTTCAAGTATAGAACGAAAGGTCGGTGATCTAAATTACGCTTCCTCAAGCGCTAAGCTACGGCACTCCTGTCCGATACATCGTTTCTCGCACGTTGACCGTCTCGGTCCAGTGCTCTCAACAATAGCGCTTTTGTCTCCTAGCAGTAGTGGGTTCATGACTCGCCAAAGCTCCACCAGGAGACGTGCGCGTAGCGCCAAAGGTCTTTGACCTCCAATCAATCCATGGCTCATGTGGTTCCAACCGTGCCATTCCTAGGATGAGGTCATACCTTGCATTCAAGTCTAAGACTAGACAGCGTCCCAACCTATCAAAGTCAAGAAGCTTGACTCCAAGGTCCACAGGGACCTTCGGGACCGTGACACGCGTCCTCGTCGCTATGCGAACAGTGACGATATCAGCCAACCGCGCTTTCAACGCCTCAGCAAACAGCTGACTTCTTTCCATCGTGGAGCGTCGAGTATAATTGCCCGACGCCCTGGAATCGATGAGGATCTTCCATGGCTTCTCGAAGCCCTTTGCGGTCGCCTCCACGACCAGCAAAGCCCGGCTTGCATACACGTTCCGTGTTTAAGAGCATGGAGCACTTCGGGGCTGGGCCCTGTTGACCTCTACCTCACTGAGGCTCAACAGAACTCAGTTCTTGCCCAGTGGGTCGCCCCGCGCCTACGGAGTGGTGTCGTTTCCTCGCGACGAACCAGACTGGTAGGCGTTGAGGCGATGGTTCGAAGAACCTTGGTGCGCCTTGCGCAAGAGGCAACCATTCCGCAGGTGACGGGTGTCTCCACAGACAAAACACCGTCGTGTGCTTGCGTGCTGCCCGGTAGCTCGGAGCTCTGCTCCCTCGTCGTCAGCATAGCTGAGATCCATGGGCATG